AGGCAGGGAGTGGGCTGCAGGCAGTCAGTGCAAAGGGAGGGCGAAGTTTGCCTGGTTTTCCTCACTCCATGCCTGGGAGCCGGGCAGCCGCAGCTGCCTCTGCCCAGCTGTTTCCTCCTGCTCTGTGCCCCCAGGGGGAGAAGGGTCCCTTCCCGGGGGGCACTGGAAGAGGAAGGAAGGGAGGTAAGGAAAGCAAAAAGGTCCTGGGGGGGAGGCACGGCTAGTGAAGGCGACTGCAGTTCCTGAAAGACTGAAGCAGGGGATGCATCCCTATGCAATAGAGCTTGCTTCACAGGGATGCACCCCTATACAGTGGAGCTACGTGGGGGGTGGGGCAGGCTGGAGGGCTGTGCCCCAGTTTCCTCCACAGCCAGAGGCACCCTGACCCATCTGTCTTGCAAGTGCTGGGTCAGGGCGCCTGTAGCTGCAGGGGAAAGCAGGGTGCACCCCCTAGCCTGTGCCCCCCACCGCCCAGGCGGTTCCATTGCATACAGATGCATTCCTCAAACCTGGCTCTATTGCATGTGGATGCATGTCCCGCCCCAGCCTATCAGAAGCCTTAATAGCCTTTACTAGCTGTGTCTCCCTGGGATCTTGCCTCCCCTCCCACGGGACAAGACCTGGCAGAGACTCCTTGCCCTCCGGAGGCACAAAACAGGAGGAAAGAGCTGGGCAAAGGCTGAGGCAGCCTTCTGGCAGCTGTGGTTGCCCGGCTCCCAGGGATGGAGCGAGGAAAGCCAGGCAAACTTTGCCCTCCCTTTGTGCTGTCCACCTGCAACTCACTCTCCCCTAAAATGCCCTTCCCCTGCTACTCCAAAGCACGGGGGGCAGTGCAAGGGCTCCCTGCCGCCAGCCTGGGACATGGGGATGTCACTGCCCTGTCCTGCTTCCCATCTACACTGGTGTTCAGGGACATTAATGTAAAGTGCTGTTGACTAGCAAAGAGTGATTTACATTAATCTACTGTGCAGTAATTGCTGTGCACGTTTAGATGGTGGCACTTTACTGCACATTAGATTAGTCTAACACACAGTGGGCATGTCTACACGTTCATTAACACACAGTAGTTACTGCACATTTAGTTTAGTACTTGCTCAATGAAGTTCTAACTAAATGTACAATAACTACAGTTACTCCACAGTTGTGCCAGAGCTTGGCTTTTTTGTGAATTTTACTGCACAAGAGCGTAATAACACTGCACAGAAGTGTATTAGTATGGTTTTTGACTAGCCTGCTACTGCGCAGTGCTATTAGGTTACTGTGCAGCAAGTGTCTAGGGTAGACACGCCCAGTAAGATGTCATTTTGAAATAGTTCTTATGACCTGAGATACTTAACTGAATTTTAAGTAGAAAAACAGAAGATAAATAGTTAATCAGGAAGTAAAGACAAAATTAAATACCTCCAACTTACTAAAACCTGGGAAGAAAATGCTAAAGAGATTTAAACATGCACCAATCAAAGAGTCTAACTGGTTCGTAATTTTAGGATACTAAAAGATTTATCTAACAAATACTCTGAATGGCTAATAATGATTTTGTAATGGTCATGGAGAGCTTGAGACATACAGAAGTGCTGTAAAAAGAAATGCATTATTATTCCTTAAGGGAAAAAAAGAGTGATCCTGGCACTTTCCATTCAGTGACTTAAATCATTTCAGTTTCCATCTAATGATTGAATCACTCCAATTTCCACTGAGTGACTTCATCATAGGTAATTGCTAATAAAATGATGGAAAAAACAATACAAGAAAAGATCTGGAAACTGGAGGTAGAAGAGAATGAATCCCTCACATGTTAACCTCAAACTGCCAAAAGGTCCCATGTCATATCTGAACTCTGGGGGTTTGCATTCTACTTGTAAGAAACATTTAGGAAGAATGTCTCCTGATATGAACATGCCACAAGACAGCTCCAAGTCCTGTTGTGTACATTTCTCTGGGTGAAGGGCAGTCAAACAGCCAGTAGAAAATGTAGCCAAAGCACCCCCGCACAACTTCAATTTCCTAATGCCACAATACCCTGCTCTAAGTTGCTCTGGGAGTCAAATCCCAGGACAAGTGTGCCACTAGCAAAATATGAGATAGTGCTACTGTTATAATTAGCCACCACTGTCACCCAGTGCTGCAAAAGCCCGTTGCAACTGGGATATGACATACTGAATTTGGCAACACCTACCCCCATATCTCCTGCAGGGCCAAACCGTTGAGTCAACACTGATCCCCAAAACCATCCCCTTCCATAACTGTTACCCTGATACCTGTCCCCTCCTCAAATACCTCTGCAACCCCCACCCCATCCTTCCATACGTTTCAATCCCCATCCCCTCCTGGACTGCTGCTCTGATCCCTGCTCCCTTCCTGATAGCCACTCCAATGTTTTTCCTCTCCTCAACTGCTACTCTGATCCCTTCCCTCTCCCCAAGTGCTGCTCCAGTTCCCTTCCTGATGGCCAGTCTAATTCCTACCCCTGCCCCAATCTTCCCCCATGTGCTGTGTGTTGGCCACCACTGATCATCTACTTGATCCCTGTATGATTTATCCATAGAATAAACCAGAACCAGAATTACTGAATTATTAAAATCAAATAAAGTTAAAACTGATAAAATAATACAAGACAGTAAATACATGAACTGTCTTAATGTAGTAAAGCAGAACACTTTCCTTTTCTGCAGTACCCTTTACAAATGACACCAATTAAAGAATATTTAACAATAAGTGTGTAAAAAGTAAAAACTACAAATTCAGCCAACTGAGAAGCTGCATTTTAGCTCCACCTGTGGGCTAACAAGACAAAATACAGAAACTCAGAAAAAAAAGCAAAGAAACAACATATGAGGAAACATATGAATCCAATATAATTGCAAAAGTTATTTACCCTTAATGTAGCTCTTTTTAAATAAAAGATCAGTGAGACTCATAAACAAAAGCTGAAATCTGTTACCTTTAAAAGTAAAAAATAGCTCATGCAGGAGGCCATGTTTCGGTGGCTTGACAACATGACATTTGTATGATGGTTCTATGATATGGCATGTCAAATGGGAGATCAAGTCATCCAAGTGTATCTTCAGTCCTTCAAAGAATTGACCATTGGCTGCTAGGCTGCATTCTTTCGTAGTAAACCGAACAGATATCTGGTATGTGTAGTCAGGTTCCCGGTATGCTTAAAAATATGTACATAAATATATGCAATATAATATTCATCCTATGCATATTTTGTAACCTATATCTTAAATGTTGATTTTATTTAAAAGTAAAGTTTTATTTTCCTCTTAAACACAATGGGACAATTTTTTTCTAAGGTTTCATGGATTTAAGTAATATTGTAATATTAGGATTAATTTAGGTTGATATGCACAATAATTTTAATGTGTATTTTGTATATTTCCTAACCCAAATACTACACATGATGAAATGTTACATGGCAAAATAGTGACAGAACTAAAGAAGAGTATTTTGGAATGTATGCACATTTTAAAAATTAGAAATATATGAAATATATTAGATGAATTTATTAGAAATCATTCCTTGCACTTGCAGGTTGAGATAGATTTATGAGTCTGGTTGCAAAAAAAGAGATCACATCCTTTTCTTTCTATTTTATTTATCTTCTTTAGAATTGTTAATTGTTTTTGGCAAAGTTACTAAACTGCACAAGCTGTTACCCTGCCACTATATTAAACAGCATACCATCGAGTAAGATCAGAATGCTTATTTTATGTCAGCATAAATTCTCTTTTTGGGCACCTCTTTGGAATAAGATCACAGTCATACCAGAGCTTCCTTTTCTGATCTTGGGTATCTCTGAGAGGATGCAACCTCATCTATTTTTTCTTCAAGGTTAGAAATTATTTCATTTTCAGTAAGGGTCATTGACCAGGCATTTGTGACAGTTGTATTGATTTGACTGAAACGAAAGCTGTGTTGAAATGATTTTATTTCAAAACTATTATTAAGAATATTAAAACTATTATTAAAATTAGCTATTAAAATTAAGCTATTACAAGAATATCAAAACTATTTAATATTATTAAAACTAGTATTCATAAATAATTAATTAATTATTCATATTATTAATTGTAATTATAATTAAGCTCATTATTGAAACTATTAAAATAATATCAAAACTATTATTAAGAATACTAAAACTGCTTATCACTGGGGTGCTTGATTTAATTTTTTCTAGAGTAAGATGTTACCTAAATTACATTTAATAAATCATAAAATATTGTTGCATACAATACAGGTTCTAAGCCAGAAAAGTCCCATGCACTTGTTCACTAGTAACTGTTCACGCCTTACCATATACCATAAATTTATATGCCTTATATTTTTCTTTCTCTTCTTGAGTGTCAGTTTTGATGATATCGTAAGAAAGAGTGCAAGTGTACGATCCAGACATAGACTCCTGAAAACCTCTCACCATCAGCTTTCCTGTTTTAGTGACAGTTGCATAACTTTGTCCTAAAACAGAAAAGGAAACTCCTGTCAGTGCTTTTGAAACATACACTGATGGAAAATTTGTATAGTTTATTCACAAGGAATCACATGAGATATCTTATTTACTTTCAGAAATACATATCAAGTTGCTCATACATATTGGTTGGAAATTACCTGATCTCATGATCTTCAGGACTTGTTACAAAATCTATTTGCTATCTCAGGCACTTGATAATTTGGATGGGAACTGTAATTGTAGATTTTAAAAGGGATTTGTATAGCTATCACAGTTACTTAAGATGTATTTTTAAATAATGATAAGAGCACAAAGAACATATAGATAGGTGGGGTTTTTTAGCATTTCTGCATTCCAAAATAATTATATACTTTCGGTATGTAGATGTATGTATATATGAAATATTAAAACAGCCTGTAATCACATACATCAAAAGACACATTTTTACATGTTAGTAAATTATGAATTATAATTTGTGCCTTATTTGCTAAGTGTAGTTCAAAATGGTACTGTTTTGACAGTCTAAGAACAGGCAAAAACCAGTAATCTTAACCATTAAGGAATGTGCATGTGCATCAAATACTATATGAGTGAATATTGTTTAATAATTCTTTTAAAAAAGGAATCATATTTTTAATTTGTTCCATTTATATAATGCCATAGAACAAATAAACAAGCAGATTTTCCCTGTTTCATACCTATAATCAGATGGAATAGCTAGCTGGTCAAGCAAGGAAAAGGAAGTGCCTTATAAATGAAGCTTTTCTCTGAAACTATTTCTGAGCCCATGGATGCTCAGGTTAACATCACAAAAAGGGAAACTAAAATCAAACACGGTGAGTCTACATGAGATGCTTTACTGCAAATTAGACTAATCTAATGCGAAGTAAAGCATCACCATCTACATTTATGTGTTAATTCCTGCACAGTAAATTAATCTAATGCATTATTTGCTAGTACCTATGAACGAGTGGTGCCTCCCAGGACTGGGGGACACCATGGCAGTGAGCGGCAAGTGGGGACTGCCGGCAGCCGCTGCCAGTGATGTCGGTGGGGGATGGGGGGGGACGCAAGTGGCAAGCAGTGAGCAGGGACCGCCTGCAGATGCCACTGCCTGCGTCGGCGGCTAGGGTGTGTGTGTGTGAGTGGCAACCATCCGCAGCTTTGGTGGCAGCCAATCTTGTGGGAGGGTCATGTGACCCCCCCCCCCCCCGTGCCCTCCCTAAATGTCGCCTATGCTAGTACCAATACATACAGGTACTAGAAAAACAGTGCATTAACTAATGCACGGAAGTGCACACATAGACTTGAAGTGCATGTGTAGACCAAATTTGCTCCTGCCAGGAACACATTCAGAATTGTGCCTGGGCAGTTTAATGCACCTGAATTTTCTCTGCAGAAAATTCTGCAGAAAATTCAGACACATTAATTGCATGTGTAGATGTGCCCACAGAATAGAAAGCCCAAATTGTTCTAACTTCTCCAAAGCCTCTTTCTGTAGTTACTAGGCAGTATTTTTTATACAGTGCCTCCTGTTTCTTCAGGAGGGCCTGATTGAATATTCAGTCCCCAGATTTTGTTTCCTTAATTTACTTTGTAAATCTGTGTCAGTTATGTTAAAAGAATTAACTCCCCTCTTTCTAAAAATCAAGAAAGGCTTCAAAACAAATTCCAATTACCACACATCATCATCCTAATGGAAAACAGGGGTGAAATAGAAAAAGGGAAGCTAGCTCAGCAGAATTTTCCCATTCCCCTCCAAGCAGATATTGAATGCTTCTAATTAGGTGATATGGTGCTATAAAAATCTGATTGAATGGGTTATAGCAGTGGTGGCGAACTGTTTGGGCAGGCATGCCACAAATTAGCCCTGCATATCCCCCCCAAGTGCCACTCTGACCCCCTTCTCTTGCCCAATCTGCTGCTTTTTCTGCTTCTTGCCCTATGTTCCCTACCCAATCTGCTGCTCTGTTTTCTATGTTCTTCCCCATGCTCTGGGGCTCCCTTTGGGCAAGGCTTGAAGCTGTGGCTGACAGGGTTGCAATGGGACTGCTGGCAGTGCTGTTTGGCAGTGCCAAAATAGACTGTTGGCAGTGCTGAGGCATCTGCTCCTCTGCTTCCTGCCCTGTCTGCCACTCTGCTACTTGTCCCCTCCCATGTGCCACATATAGAGGCTACCTGTGCCATTTGCAGCAGACATGCTGCAGGTTGTCCAACCTTGGGTTGTGGGAAAAAACAGCCAAGTCAGACTAGAAATAAATGGTAATAAGGACAACTGACCTTCTAGATTCTTTCCATTTGGACCAATCCATAAGTATTTGGGATCTACAAGTTCTTTTTGAGAAAGTGCTAAATCCATGCATACTAGAAATGGACTATTTGTATACACTTTTATGTAAACATCAACTGCAAAACAAGAAAATGAAATTAAATAAGCAATAATGTTGCACTTGAACTAAATTACTAAGTATTTGTTAATTTTGGATTGCCTTTTAATTATTTTTCTTCCACTACAGGGATCAGATGTGGATCTAACTGAGCGCATCTGCACATACATTAATGCGTTTTAGTCAATGTGCATTAAATCTAGTACCTCCATTGTGAGGTACCAGGAAAATGCACATTATCCTGTCTTAAGCTGCATTAACTAATTGGGGGTCATCATTGACCACAAGATGAACATGAGCCTGCAATGCGATGCTGTGGCTAGTAAAGCGACAAAAATGCTGGCTTGCATCCATAGATGCATCTCAAGCAAATCCCAGGATGTCATTCTCCCCTTGTACTCGGCCTTGGTGAGGCCGCAGCTGGAGTACTGCGTCCAGTTTTGGGCTCCACAATTCAAAAAGGATGTGGAGAAGATTGAAAGAGTCCAGAGAAGAGCCACGCGCATGATCAGAGGTCAGGAAAACAGACCTTACGACCACAGGCTGAGAGCTATGGGGCTTTTTAGCCTGGAAAAGCACAGGCTCAGGGGTGATCTGATGGCCACCTATAAGTTTATCAGGGGTGACCACCAATGTCTGGGGGAACGTTTGTTCACCAGAGCGCCCCAGGGGATGACGAGGTCGAACGGTCATAAACTACTACAAGACCGCTTCAAGCTGGACATAAGGAAGAATTTCTTTACTGTCTGAGCCCCCAAGGTCTGGAACAGCCTGCCATCAGAGGTGGTTCAAGCACCTACACTGAACACCTTCAAAAGTAAATTGGATGCTTATCTTGCTGGGATCCTATGACCCCAGCTGACTTCCTGCCCTTTTGGGCGGGGGGCTGGACTCGATGATCTTCTGAGGTCGCTTCCAGCCCTAATGTCTGTGAAATCTATGCAACTAAATGGGGCATTTTTGCACAGGCTGTGGGACGTGTGGAGATGTGGGCCGGAAACTTTTCTGGAAACTTTTCGAGTGCTTAATTTTGCTGTGGGAAATTTTCCATTTCTAAAAATTCATTGTTTCATAAAATTAATTAGCAACAATGAATGGAGGCCAATACAGTATTAGGCAAGCCTGGCAGTTTCAAAGTTGCAATTAATGTTTTTCAGGTGATTATCCTTAGGAAGTGTGTGAAAGAGTACATATATGTTTTATAGATTCGTTAACAGGAGGATAAATGCACCCACATAATAATCCAAACCAAAAATCAAGTTATGAATTCACCCAATTGGCTGTGCAGGTCAAATCAAAACCAAAGCACAGCATATCATGCACAGTTCTTTGCATGTGTTAACATTAGTATGTCAATAGTTTTCAGTGCCTTTGTTTTTTTTCCTTAAATTTAAACAAACAATTTAAGGGAAGTACTTGCTATTGTCTTTACATCTTTACAAGTACATTTTATTTCAATAAATATAATTTCTTTCCACATAAAGCTTTGAATTTGTTTGAATGTAACGTTTAAACCACATTAAGTGTGCTATATTTAATTTTTTTCCTAATCAAATATTTCAGTTCAAATACTTGTGGCTATTGGGACATAAAATTTACATGGAGGTACTTTTTAAGTTTTGTTTACTAAATATAAGTCAAATAAGCATGCTAAATCAAATCACACTCTATTTAGGGCATTGGAAAATGCTATGGAAAATTTTTCAGAAAATTTGCCAATTCAAAATTTTCCAGGAAACCCTTATCTCTGGGGACGCAACACCAGGAGCTTTAATTAGCAAGCCACACTAATCAAAAGTGTCCATGTGCCACGTGTATCAGTGTCCTCATGCTGAAAAAATGGCAGTGGGGTGCTTTGAACTAAAGCTCATAGAACGTGTTTTAGTTCAAAGCACCCCACCACCATTTTTTCAGGGCAGAGATGCACTGGGACACTGATATACAACTTCCGAGCGCCAGAAGGCTTGATTAATACAACACCCTAGATTTCCAGCATGCTGGAGCAGGCTTCGTGCACATGTATATGATCCCACGGTTTTTAAGTGACATTTTTGCATATTAGCCTCTTTTAACGCACATTAGCTAAATAACCCTTTTTTGTGATGCTTTAATGCATACTAAAATAGGCTAATTAAAGTGCATGTGTAGACACACTCACTGAGACATTATTCTTATTACTTACAATAGAACTGCCCACAGTCTGGCTTGGTGCTGTCCAAACATATAGTCCCAGTGCCAAAAGTTGACAGGCTAAGAATATCAGATTTCTAATATACAGTTGAGTTGCTCAGAGGGCAAGAAGAAAATGAATCCTTAATTTTGCTATGAAATTTTTCCAAAATTCTGAACAGCTATCAACAGGCAGAAATGTTCCCTAAGCTCCTACAGTCTTGTACATCATGGAGACAACATTATTGTTCTTGGAGCTGACATGCAGGACTGTGCTTATTTTTGTCTTTGTTTACAGTTTAAAATAATGTAGGAAAAGAAAAAACACATAAAATCATCTCATGCTGGAAAAGAGGTAATATAATTTCAAGCATTACTTAACATACAATCTGTACTGAAAATGCACTCTCCAAAACTGTTCACTGTACAGGCTAAATACATTACTCAGTAAAAGCATTTTTCCAATACCTTTCTAATTTAATATACAAATTCATAAGGACATGTACTACTGCTCCATGCAATTATTTAATTCAAAGATCTTTCTGTTCATAGAAGTCTGTCATGACATTGTGGCCTAATTTGTCGACAGCTTTCAGGTTCTAGTAATGGAATTGGTCCAATTATTGGAAATAATTTGACATAAAAATGTTACAATGATCTATTTTGTATAATGTCATTTATAAGATCTTTTTTTCCTTTTCTGTTCTTTCCATTTTTATGGGCTTGAAGAATTCAGTTCTTTCCTATGTAATTAATACTTGATAGTCTTTGCATGATACATTTATTTATATGGTTTGCCACTGTGTTGAAGAGCTCCATATGATATTTTCTATTAAAAATATCTCCTAGAATCTTAATGATAAAATATGCAAAGTTACCTTTATGATTGATGCTGCCATAAATGTCATTCTTTTTTATTAATTCAACAGAATATGGTTCTTCATCATTTGCAGCTTCCACTGTAGAGAAAACACTTAAAATATTTTTTTAAAAAATCAAATCTAAATTTAAAATTAGTTACCCTTTTATTTTACTTTGGGAGATCCTCTCTTCCTACCTTGCTTCCTACCCTTTTTCTTAAAAAAAAAAAAAAAAGTGTTCCTGTTTACTGCCAGATTAGTGAATCTATTTTTATTTTATACAATCCAGACTCATTCAATTTTTATTTTACCAAAGAGCCCTGAGTAGTTATGAATGATGACCGGAAGTATTTTCTAAACAGTTTCTTCTGTAAAAATGATCATGCTTCCATGACATCTGTGTAATGAGCATTAAGGACCCCAGTTCCCAGAAAATCCATCCAACCTTGGGACCATTACATGGGAAGGTGGCTCCCTCAGATTAATTCATCTTGGCTATGGATGTACAGGAACAACACTCAGATGGCCAAGCGCTTCTCAGCAGAGTTCTCATCACTACATCACAAGGCTGCTAAGTCTTGCTCAAGAAATACATCTGTGAACCCTAATGATGCAGGTGGCCCCAGTTTCCTGAAGCAGCCCATGGAAATGGGATTCACAACAGATCTTCCTTGAACTTGTGAAGTCTTGGGTCCATGCTGCAGTGACCCTTTGGGTTGGGGAGCCCCAAACCGCAGGACATTCCCATTGGATGAAAGCGAGTTATTTGCCTTTTTATAAAAAAAAAAATGCAAGTGTGTGAGGGTTTGTCTGAGGAGGGAGTCCCAAACTGGCTGAAAGATCACAGTGCCAACATTTTGGGCAGAGATGCCAATGACTTCTGACCTGGAGCCTTACTAGGGACCAGCAGAAAAATACTCCTCTAGGACCCCCAGTTGCCCAGAGGGATGCCAAGAAAGAGGCAGGTGTTGGTTCATAAAGAAAATGCAAGCCTCCATGCCTTCCTCCTTGTGGGGGTCTTAACATCAGGGGGGAAGGGCTGCCGTCCTTGGGACCTCCCGTCTTCATACTGTGAGGGCTAGTATGATGGGTCAGAGACTCAGGGAGAGCAGGGTGCGCTCCCCGAGAGGCAGGGTTGGGGCTCCCCCACAAAGAACCAGGGGACACGCTACCACCTCCATTACCTTGGGTCAAAGCGACCAAAGCATGCAACAAAACCCCCACGGAGACGACCTGGGCGCCAACCAGCAGCCCCCAGCAGCCTCCCCACATGGTCAAGCAGCTCCTTCCCTCCCCTCCCCTCCCCTCCCCCAGCCGGGGCTCCAACCGCCGCGGCGCGGGACCAACCGCCCTTCCCGCGCTTTTCCCGCGCGCGCCCCGCCTTTTCTTCGCGGGCTCAACCCGCCTTGCCCGCCCCTTCTTTTATTTTATTGTATTTTTAGCTTCTCAGGGAGCGGACAGCCAGCGCTTACCCGTCCCGCCCCTTTCCTCCGCGTTTCGCCCCGTGAGACAGACACCCGTCGCCTCCATGCAGGGGTGTTTCTCCCCCGACGGGAGGATGAGCCCCGCGATGCCCCGGGGGGAGAGGGCTTAGGGGGAAGTGATGCGCTCTCGGTCCTTGTGGAAATCGGGCTTGCAGTTACTGAAGAGGGGTCTCCTTTCCCAGCTCCTCTGCCCACCTCCCCTCCCAGCAGGCACATTGCATCCCAAAATCTAGTTGGATATTTTATGTAGCTAGCCTCAACTGTTTCCATAGATTAGGGGTAGGCAACGTTTTTGGGCAAAGTGCCCCTAAAACCTGTAACCTCTACTCCTAAGATGTTGGTGTGCTGGGGACAGATGGCAGGGGAGCCACCAGGGGTCTAATCCTTGTGGCAGTGCAGCTCCTTCGCCCAGAAGCACGCGTGCCAAGCAAAATGCGTTGGCGTGCCACACTCTGGCACCCGTGCAGGGGTTGCCCATCCGTGCCCCAGCCTGCATTCTCCCACTCAGCTAGAAAAGCATAACAGAAACAACCACAAGCCTGACAGAAACATGCCCAAAAAACCCTACATTAATACAGCGAGAGGATGTGCCCATTTTATGATATCCTAGCAGTTATCATAGCAGCTATAGTAAATAAAAGGAACCCCCCCCCATATATTTGTAACGTGGGATGGGAAGGAAAAGGAATGGGAGGGGAGGATTCACGCAGTTTGCCCTTGGGATTGGGATGGGGTCTTTGGGATTGTGTACTGACCAAGAGAGACCAGACGGACCGTGAAAGTGACAAGGATTTTGGGGTGACCATGACCGTGCCCAGTGACAGTCAGGACTGCCCAGTGAGAAGCCGGGGATGGGGACTAGGGAGGCCGGGTGATTTACATGTGCCTCCTGCTGTAATACATTAGGAAAGACATTACAGGGGTAAACTGATATTTGACTCCCCCTACTGAAATCTGCGGGGCATGATACACAAGGCTTAACTCACTCGAAAGCACCCGGCTGTGCAAACGCAAATGCACTGCACCGAAAAAAAAGCCGTATTCAAAATTTCAGGCACTCTACGTTAACGTCCACATCATCTACACACACCCCTGCTTCATACAGGTAGATCCTGCAGGATGAAGCACATCTGGAAGCTATTTCTGGGCACACCGCTATGGGGGTTTGTGTCTCCATGTTTCAGATTTTGCCAATAAAAGTTATCACCCTAAGAAATGCTTGCCAACTTTCATAAAGGTATTGTGAGTCTGGCAGTGTTTTCTGCTTTTCTAAAGCCTCAGCATTTAGATGAGAATCTTGGCTCTAAGCGTTTGGGTTGTTTTTTTTCCTCCTGCTCTCAAGTAAATTTCTAGTACTCACGTTTGGGGAGAAAAGCTTGATCTGTGTATTCTAAAAACCTAACGTGAAATAAAAAGAACTAGAAGTCAACAGGTATTCTTATTTTAAACAGTTTATGATTTTTAAGTCAATCCCAGGAGCTCGAGGGACCTGGCTCATGGGTTTTGAAAAGTTGAGGTTGGTAATACAGTATTTTTAGAAAATGTGTTGTAGCTACGTTTGAAAATATTGCTGGACATGTTGGCTTGTTTTGCATTAATATTGGATGGCATTAGAAAATAGTGACATAACTGTTCAGAAATTGTGGTCAAGACTTTCATTAATAGAATGAATAATGTCCTATCCACACTACTGCACCACATGGCAATAGCAATGGTTTCACGGAAAAAATCTGACCTGCCAATACCAAGCATGATATCTATTTTCCTATGTGACTATAGCAAGCATAATTCAGTCCACCTATGTGGAAGAAAAGCTTTATTTAAATTATGAATTTAAAATATTTTAAATAAAATGAGCAAACAGCAAATAAATAGGAAAGAGAATCTATAGCTAATATTAAATTATGGAACGAAAATGTTCAGGTGGAAAACACAGTTACTAAAACATGCTGGTGTTTTTAAACTACTTGCCCTCTCATTTTCAAGTTATTCAAAGCTCCCTGCCCTACTAAATGTGCTTGCCTTAATCGTTTCAGTTATCTCTCTTAGTAAGAGCACAATATCCCACGCTCAGTTTTAAGTAGACCAACATATTGTGTCTCAATTGGCTGGCTCAGCTGTAAGGAATATGTCAGGAGTTTTCAGTTTTAGTTTCTCTGAGACACTGAGTTGTTTAAAATTAGGACCAGAAGGTCCAGTGTTCCTCTGTGTCAAATATTTTCAGTTTTACTCAAAGTTATCTTTTCACGCTTATACCATATAGACAAAATGATTCAGTTCTAACCTATGTCTGTTATATACTAGTCATACCTAAGTCTGAACTTCCTCTGTTCCAGAGGATGTTTATGCCCAAATTTAATTTGACTATCCCACACAGACTTTCATTATCCCACTTGTTAATTATTGTAAAATAAAAATCTCTCCATTATAAAGCTTTCTCTGCAGTTTTGTGGATCTCTACATACTTAGACTCACAGACAATAATTCTAGTCGAATGACTCATCCCTTTTAAAGTCATGTTGTTTCTGAGATAGAAGCAGATTCGTTGTCTTCTTAATAGGTTAGTGAACGGTATTATCTGAAAACGATTTAAAGGCTTATTCACCAACAAAAATTAAAAGATATTTTCTAGAGATTAAGATTGCTATTGTAATATGATTTGCTTTTGGTAGTGTTATCGGGCTTCCAAATCTTATTAAATGCTGTACAAATACACAGAAAAGGTTCTGGAAAATGGAACGCAAAATAAGAGTCAACTGAAGAACAATTATTTAATATGGAATATAAAAAGTAAAAGAGGACCATGTACAATTCACTTATTTATTCATTTTTCTGTTTTTGTGTTTTACTTTTTGTTGAAAGAACAAATTTTAGAGTCAGTGAATCTGTGTTCTGATAAGGCAGCTAATATGTGCTAGTAACTGAACCAATAAACATGTTATAATTCAGAGATTCCCAGGCTAAAGGTGCCATCTCAGGTGTTTTAACAAAAGAAAAAATGAACTAAATTTCAACATGGTTTCTAATACAATTAACTATTTAAATCCTCATCCTCATCCATCATTATCATAGAATCATAGAATAGGACCCCTGGAGGCCATATAGTCCAACCCACTGCTCAAGGCAGGACCATCCCTAATTAACCCATCCCAATCAAATGTGTGTCTAATCTGCTCTTAAAACTTCCAAGGAGGGAGATTCCATAGCCTCTCGAAGCTTCTTTCTGTTCCAATGGTTAATTACCCACGTAAGGAGAAAGGTCTTCCTAATATCCAACCTAAATTTCCCCTGCTATAATTTGCTCCTAGTTCTGTCCCCTGTAGCTGCAGAGAGCAATCTATTCCTGCCATCTTTATAACCACCCTTCAGGTATTTGAAGACTGTTATCAAATCCCTTCTTAGTCTTTTCTTCTTCAGACTAAAGCCTAGCTCTTTCAGTCTTTCCTCATAAGTTTTGCCTCCCAGGCCCCTAATCGTTTTTGCTGCTCTGCACTGGATTCTTTTCAATTTGCCCACATCCTTCTTGAAGTGTGTTCCCCAAAACTGGACACAGTATTCCATGTGAGGCCTCACTAGTGCCAAATAGAACAGGAGACTCACTTCCTTTAATTTGCAAATGACACTCCTCTTAATACAATTCAGTATGCTACTGGTCTTTTTTTGTAACAAGAGCACACCTTTGCCTCATATTCAGCTTATGTTTCGCTATAACCTTTAAGTCCTTTTCTGCAGCCTAGCCAGTCATTCCTCAGAGGCCATGTCTACACGTTCATTAAGGCACTTTTCCAAATGCGCATTAAATTTAGTACCTCTAATGTGAGGTACTAAACAAATGCAAAATAGGCTGCCCTAATATGCAGTAATGAATACACACAGTTTTTACGTGATGCTTTAATGCACAGTAAAATAGGTGACTGCACGTTAAACCACATGTGTAGATGCACCCTGTCTGTATTTGTGCATTCAATTCTTTTGTCCTGGGAGTTACATCATTACAATAATGAACTGAGTCTGCTCTTTTGTAAAGAGATTTACAAAGAGCAGACTAAGCCAAAGGCCCTTTCTAGGAGTTAACAATTTAATTTAGATAATCCAATATATAAACATACATGGAAAAAGACTGGAAGTGTTGATGTACTTTTTCTTATTTACAGTTCCTTCCCAAGCCCTTGAAGAGACATTGTATTCCTTCTTTAATTACAGAGAAGCCATCTTTCCTTCAGAAATGATGGAACCCCTACAGTTTCTTATGGGCTTGATTATCTGTGGCAAGGGATGTTTAAAAGAACCATAAGTATAATTTTGAATTTACATGGGTAAGCTATTATCAGAATATAATCTATCTATCTTTGCATGTCTTTCTTCTCTCAACATTCAGTGCTTTAATAAAAAACAGGGTTTCTTGTTTTTAGCAAGAGTTGGGGACACAATAGAACTGGGATATTATACAGGAAGAATTGCATAACCTCGAGGACAAGAGTAATAAAAATGTGTTTAAATTAAATAGAACAAATGTAAGATTTTTTACTCAGGCACTAATAACAAGAATTTCTGCCAAAAACTGGGAGCTCATCAGTTAGAAGTGACAGAAGAGGAAAAACACCTTGATGTACTAGTTGATTACATGATGCCAAGTATGAGCCATCAGTGTGATACAGCTATGAAAATAGGAAAATGTCGCAAAAGTGATGTTTCTGGGAGAGGAAGGGAACTATTAATTCTGCTGTACAAGCCTCTAGTGCAGATGTTCCCCAATTTTTCTTGTTGTGTCCCCTTCCAGATTTACCAACTGCCTGTGTATCCCTACCAGCATTAAGTTAATATTTTAACCCCTTAAATGCCAATTATTATTAGAATGAAAATTAAATCTGCCACTACACAATTTCTCCTGTGTACCCTCCCCCTGAGATGTCTTGTGCACCCCCAGGGGTATGTGTACTACAGTATGGAAACCCCTGCTCTAGTGAGGCCTTATCTGGAATACTGCTTACTATTCTGGTCACCCACCTTCAAGGAAGATTTATTCAAACTGAAACAAGTGCAGAGAAGACCACTAGGACAATCAAGAGAATGGAGATCCTATGTTACAAAGGCAGACTAAAAGAGCTTGGCTTGTTCAGCCTAGTAAAAAATGAGGGGTAAGAGAGGTTACAGCTTCTTTCCATAAATACATCAAAGTAAATGCCAGGGAGGGAAAAGAAATATTTAAGCTGAAGGACTATGTTGGCACAGGAACAAGTAGATAAAGACTGGCCATGACTAACACAAGGCTGGAAATAAGAAGATTTCTAAGCATCTGAATAGTGAGATTCTGGATCACCTGTCCAATAAATTTAGTTGGTACAAAAATGTCCAACTTTTAAAACAGAGCATGGCCAATTTATGAAACAGATTATCTGATATGGAGCACCACAACAGCAAGGGACTAGAGCTGATGACCCAGGAGGTCCCTTCTAGTTCTGGGCTTGCAAGTACTTATTAGAAATTAGAGTAGAAAGATGAGTCAGATACCAGTCTAAGATGGCACAAAAATAATTCTGAACATCATATCTCAATGTTTGGTAGTTATCACATAGGAGAGATGTAACAATTGAAGCCAGTGCTGTTTGGCTTTAGAAACCCCTGTTCAGATCACCATTACACGATCCAAGGAGGTGATCCTCCCCCTCTATGCGACACAGTCAGGCCGAAGTTGGAGTACTGCATCCAGTTCTGGGCGCCGCACTTCAGGAGGGATGTAGACAACATGGAGAGGGTCCAGACGAGGGCCACTTGCATGATCAGGGGGCAGCAGGGCAGGCCCTACGAGGAGAGGCTACGGGACCTGAACCTGTTCAGCCTCTGCAAGAGAAGGCTGAGGGGGGATCTAGTGGCCATTTACAAACTAGTGAGGGGGGACCAGCAGGCAATGGGAGAGTCCCTGTTCTCCCGAGCACTCCCAGGAGTGACGAGAAATAATGGTTACAAGCTGGCAGAGGGTAGATTTAGGCTAGATATCAGGAGGCGCTACTTCACGATCAGGGCAGCTAGGATCTGGAACCAACTTTCAAGAGAAGTGGTGCTGGCTACTACCCTGGGGGTCTTTAAGAGGAGGCTTGATGAACACCTTGCTGGGGTCATTTGACCCCAGTACTCTTTCCTGCCATGGCAGGGGGTCGGACTTGATGATCTGCTCAGGTCGCTTCCGACCCTACAAACTATGAAACCATGAAACTACATGTACTATTACCTCCATTTCTACATTTTACAAGCATTATAAGAGTATTCATACTGATTTCAGTAGGACTATTTGTACATAAATAGGTTGCATGACTAAGGTGTATGTAGCTACAAATTTAATAAATTCCTTCAAATATCAAATAATAATATACATTTAATGTAAGTCTAGTTCTTACTACCATACTTTCTCTTCATTGCTTGGCTTTAAAAGAACATGTTGTTAATCCTAAAGAACACAACAAAATTAAAAAATAAAACTCAGTCATATACCCAAATCATATATTCCATACCGAAAATTGTCATGCAGCCTTCAGCCAAAAGTATTCATTTTTTCCCTTTACTTAGAGTCTCTTCATATGATCTTTGGTTTACCAGAACTTGAAAGCTGCAAATACAAAATATTTGTCAAACCATGCAATAAGATGGGTTGTTCTTGTGCTGGAGGTGGTTGCTGACACATGGATTTGTCATGTAGGCTTTGTCAATATGTAGGCTATTATATTATGAAGTCATTTACTGGTAAATAATTCTGAGCTAAACAAATGACAAAACTGTTTCTTATTTTACAAATGAAAGACCGTGTTTTGCATTCCTGCACTTATTTTCTCACGATGTGTGTGATCGATGCTCTTTCAGAGTATAATGTTGTTACATTGTAGAAAAAGATTATTTAACTTTACTTAGAAAAGTTCTTAATAGAGTTAATCCTTACTGGCTTTTCATAGACTGCTTGGTCATTTTAACTTTTTTGAACAACTTAGTTTTGTTCTAAAAACAGATAATAAGCACTGCCTTTTCTTTATTAAGATGAAAAAGTAAAAAAGAAGTCTAGTGCTGTCTCATGCTCACACATTTTACCTTGCAAGGCTGACCTCAGGCTTCCAAAGAAAGCAGTGCTGATGCAAGTTTTTGAAAGAACGTGTTAACATATTTATGTGTGTAAATTATATCAGGGTAAGTTATTAAAGGATATTAATAACATAAAGGATATTAAACTCAAAAAAGAAAATAATCTTTCATATCAAGTGTAAGTAACACTAATTTAAGCAAAGGGTTATAGTAAAAAACTAGTAAAAAATAATCACAAACCTACCAATGCAAGGTAGTTCTGACCTACTGCTGTTAAATTCTTAACAGCAGTAGGTCAGAGCTACTGTTGCCTGAATGCTACTTAGCTACTGTTCCCTGAGTGACCCAAACTAAACAGCAATAAATGGCTTTTTAGAGCTACTATGACTATTACTATTTGTAAAGGACTTAAAAGATGGAAGGTGCTCTGAATATTATAACCACTATTTTGAATTGGAAAATTGTTTTAATAGATTATGGGCCCACAAGATCATCCAGATCACAGGAGTAATCAAACCTCATCTTAAAATGAAGGGCTACAATGGTAAGTTCCATGAAATAACGCACATTACACCTGTGTCTTATTTGTAAGGTAAAGACATATTCCTTGAAGACAAGAATACCCTTGAGTCAAGATGGGAGATTCATGCTACAGGCTGTAGTATCTGCAGACTACACCTTTTGATGAAGTTGAGGGTTCACCAAAGGCACATTATGGAACTCCTTGGAATACACATTGCCATTTCTTCTCTAAAAGAACAACTGCTTGAGTTATAATGTTATGCACGAAAATAAATTCTCAGCCCCACATCACCAAGAACTAAGAAAAAATACAAATAACACTGCATTTTAAACAGCCTGAACGATTTGCTACTCCCTGCAGTAGGAGCTCAAAGAGTTGAGTGAAATAAGACCCTATTCCCTGAACCTTTTAAAAATCATAATAACATTTGTCACTTACTCAACACTTCACCTCCCCTCAAAATGCACCTCTTTTAAAGTTTCACTCTGAAAAGCACGGCCCACACACACCAATGTCCTCCCTTTGTGGAGAACTTGTGGGTAGTGCATTTTAATTGTACAGGTGACATTGCTTGCGTTTCTAAAATTAAGTAGATTTTAATCTTATGGAACGAATGCATTGGTAATTCATTCATAACATGATTAAACACATGCTACGTCTAATATGTAACATTTCCGTCTAAGAGGCTGAAATAGAGCACACAGGATCTTAAGGGGGTTGCTGAGACTCTACGCTACTGCAACTGTTTTGCACCAGATCTTCAAACCACCACCCGGCGCCGCTCTAATCACACACACAATGAGTTCCTGTCCCTTTAAATGCCTGATGTCACAGTCTCCTATCCAGAACGGAAGCCCCAGTGGCTGGGAATCTCCCGCCTGCTGCACTTGACAATCCCAGAGCCCTGGACAAGCACGTGGAGCAGGGAGCTCAAGAGGAATTAGCTGCAGCAGCATGGAAGGTGAGAAGGGACTCCTCTTTCAAAAAAGGGAGTAGACCTACTGTTCAGGGAATCCTGATCCTTCTGTTTAGTTGTTTTAAATGCATTCTTAATTTATAAATCGCTACTGTCCTTTCAGTTTATTTAAATTTTCGATCTGTGCTGCTTTTTCTGCAGCCCGATTGCAAGCCAAAGAGGAGGAATCTAATCGCGTTTTGCAATTAAACAGGAAACGATTGAGCCTCTTTACGTTGAATTTCAGAAACAGTAAAAGTACGTTAAAGCAAAGTTTACAATATATCTACTGCTCATTCTAGATTTAACGAATTAAGGGCGTGCTGGTTTCTTTGTGCTTATAAAAAGCACACTTAACTTTCAGAGCCAGTTAAAAACAAGTTTGCAGGTTAATTTGGGTTACAGCGTAGCCAGTGTTTAAAGAGAGGCAATATACATTGTTTCATATTGCTTTTAACAACCTTGGCGAGAACCCCGTATGCTCTCTCTCACCTTACGGTTTTAGAGGGTTAGATTGTCAATACATTGTTTTAAAACGTCTTTTAAAAAGTCTGACAGTTGAACATGCCCGTTCCTTGGAGGAGACACCAGTATTTTAGGATAGTCAGTTTTGGTTTTTAAAATGTCTACCCCTCTGCTGATGAAGGATTTTGAAATGTGTGCTTCAGTAATACCCCATCATTTAAATACAACCTGACTCACTTCAGATTGCCACAGTTGGTAACTGTGAAAAATACTTTAAAAGAATTTGTCTCATCGCAGTTTGTGTATTTGCAAGCAGCAGTTTCAGTCTCTTCAGTTAATGAAGCTGGAGCTAAGTATATTTTTGTGTGGAAAATGAGAGCTTTTTTGGGCTGACACAAATGTTGGTCTCTGATAAAGAAATGAGCATGCTTCCACCTCTATGAAGTATAAAGAATATTTTCAAAATCACTTTTTTTGTCTTTAAGAACTCTTGTAATTAAAAAGACTCTTGCTAATGATAGTTCAATTTTTCATTCTGTCCGTGAGTCTATGGCATATAGCACCCTGTTCATTTGGCATATTTGAAATAACTAACATTTGCTTCATCTTGAAAAGCAATGTTTGTAAAATTCAATTATATTTTATTATCTCTGTATTCAATAACTGTAACATTTACTTTTATGGCCCTATTTTTACATTTTTTGGTGGAAAAGCGTGGTTCCATTGAAATCAATGTGAGCTTTGCCTTTGATATTAATGGCGTCATTCTTCCGTCTTTCCTGTTTTAGAAAAGAACAGGTAATCTGACTGAACTCGAAGAGGTTACTCACATAAGTAAAGTATATTTGCAGGACTGACAAATTCTTTAGGCCCAAATTCTATAGTCATTATTTGATCAGATCTCACAGTTGACTGGAAACTTGACTACAGACTTTGATTGTG